GGGGGGAACGCGGCGCCTCCGCGGAGCGCGGGACGTCTTCCCCGCCGCTTCTTTCGCCATGTCCGGCTCGGAGCGCCGCCCGCCCCTTTCCTTTGCCCTTCCCCGGGCGCGCGGGTTCCTTTGGGTTTGACCAAAGTCCGGGGAAATTTGAGGCCAGAGCAGTGTGTGTGGAGTGCCCCCCCCTCCGCCCCATCTCTTATGAATCTTTGTATGATTTGGGATTGGGGGGTGAGCGGTGCGGGGAGAGTAGAGACCTTTCTAGGAGCGTGCAGCTTGGCTAGCTGACTTGAGTGCACCCTGTCATCCTGTCTGGCAGTAGATGATCTGTCCGGGCTTCACATGGTCCTAATAGGATTATGTGTGGCCTCCGTGATTTCTTCTGCGGAACCAGGGCCACTGAGGGTCTCCGTGAGGCAGGGTTGAGATGTATGTGTGCACAGGCACCTATGTGCCTAGCTGTGTAAATGAGAAGGTCTCCTCCGGATTTTCTAGTGGGTAGGAGAAGCTTCAGAATGGAAAGGAATTGGATTGTGTGGATGACAGTGATCCTTTCTCTTCACCCTCCCCCATGTGTTATGCAACAGACGGAGGTGGGTGGGTGGGTTGGTTGGGATGACAGCAGCTGTCCCAGCAGAGTGACTGAGCTCCCCTCCCACTCTGCTCACAAGGGAGGCTGAGGCTGCCACAGGGTAGCCTGATCAGGAGGAGGCTGAGCCGAAGACTTTGGTTGCCACGGATCCTCCTCATCCTCTTAGAACTCCAGAGCTGGAGGGGACCCTGTGGGATCACGGCGTCCAGCTCTTGTCATGGCGGCCCAGTGGGTGGGATGGCACATTCCTTAGGCACACTTGGATGCTGGGCCAGGTGAGTCGTCTCCGAGCATCCCAGGGAGCGAGGCATGTCTCCGTTCCCGTGGGCGCGCAGAGAGGGGCAAAGATACCACGCGGGTAGCTGGGCTCTGCTGCTTTCTTGATGCTGCTACTGCTGTGTTTGCCTACCATCTCTGATCAGCCAAGGCATTCGAGGCAGATCACCACTTAAGATGCTGCACAGTGCTGCATCGTACATGGGGCTGCCTTTGAAGAGGGCTCAGAGACCTGCCGCTTGTCGAAAAACGCAGCCAGGAGGCTGCCTGTGGGAGGCCAGGCGAGCGGCTGGAAGGAGAACAGGAGCAGAGCCCTGAAGCCGGGCAGGTTTCAGGCTCATTCTCAGACCGGTTTCTTGTGGCCTGGAGTGGCTGAGCCGTCCTGTGCAGTGGGAGGCGCACAAGCAAGGCAGGACCCCGTGCTCTTGTTCCCCCGCTCGGGCAGCCACAGGGGCTCCCGGTGTGTTTCCAGGCCCATCTTCGGATCTTTCCTGGCATGGGACTGGCAGAGCTGAAGGGCCACCTGCCTTCACCTGTGCTGCTTGCCCCCTTCAAGGGTCTGGAGGAGGAGCCCTCTGCCCAGCAGAAGGGGGCTGGCTAAAGCAGAGCGAGTGGCCCTGGGAAAGGAGCCTGCTCGGCAGGCAGCCCAGCTGAGCTGCCAAGGCCCGCCGCCCGGGGAGTCCTGCCTGGCACAGAGCCACGGGGTGGCCTTTTCCTAGCCCAGCAGAGGGAGGGCCTTGCGTTTTCCCAGGGTTTTTATCCTCTCGTCCACCGCCTTGTGCTCGTTGGATTTCTGGTGGCCGTTTTTCTTATGCTCAGTTTCTTTGCAAAGCTTTGAGTTATTTGAACCTGCTTTTAATATTTTGTGAGGACTTGCTATACTGGTGATGAAGTTCAACTAAATAAGCAAACAAGAAAATGCTGAAACAGAAGAAGGGTTATGAAAGTGAAAGACACCCTAAGGAAAGAAAGAGTGGCCTGGCCTTGTGTCAGTCCCTCGCTCTACCTCCCCCTCCCCTCCCCCCTCTAGGAACAGGGGTGGGCCAGGCCTCTCCTTGGCCAGCTTTCCCCTCCAGCTCTCTCTGTGGCCAGGTGGGCAGTAGGGAAGAGAAGGGGTCTTGTGCAGCACCCCATTTCTCCAAAGAGAGGAACTGGGGCTTGTATTGGCCGTCAAGCATTTCCCCTGCCCCAGACAATCCCATAGATGGGGAGACTGGCTCTAGAGACAGGAAGGCACTCTGTGCATGTGCAGAAGTGTCCTGAGAGGTGTTTGACCTCCACATGGTCATCTTTTTGCTCGTCTTCTGGTTTGCTTAAGATACTGAAGCCCAAAGAGTTGCAAGGAGTTGCAGTCATACACATGCACGCATGGACGCACACTCGTGCATGTGCATGCACAACCTTGTCCTCCGCCCTCCTTTTCATGCCTCCTTACACTTCTTTCTCCTGCCGTTGTGGCTGCTGCTGTTTATCCCTGTGATGGACTTTGATGGACCCAGAAAGGGGACCGGCTTCCTGCGATGGCCCGGAGGCTCTCCTGTCCCTCTTTCCGTGGCTCAGGCAGCCTCTGTTGCAAACGGTGTTGTTGGCTTGGCACGCCTGTTCCTTGCCTCCCATTATTTTGAGGTGAGGGGATTTGCTAGCCTCACTTCAGCCAAGCCCCAAAGCCTCCGAGCTGAGCTCGCTTGATCCCAACTCAGCCACTTTGGGCCCTCAGGAGTGGCGACGCTTCCAGAACAGGGAGGTCGGCAGCTGGCCTCGGTTGGAGGGTGGGCCAACCAAGCAGGGTCCTCCTCTCCTCTTGGTGTGGGGCGGGAGGCTGCTGCAGCTGCACCTTGCTGGATGTGGTACCTTTACCTGCAGTGGCTGGAGAGGAGAGGAGACAATGTTGCAGAGAAAGAATTTGCTGAAAAAGAGGAAAGCTGGGGGGGGGGTAACCGCAGCCCCTCTTGGATCAGGGAAGGGCTGGGACTGATCCCTCCCTTGCTACCTCTCCCTCTCCCCCCACTCCGCAACCTACCTTTTCTTTCAAGCCTTTTGTTGCATGACAGCCCCTGTAGATGAAGACTATCCACATATGCACCTGGCATCTCCCACTGCCTCTGCTCTCCTCTCTTCTCTCCTCTCCTCTCCTCCATGGGGTTGCCCATTGCCTGTTGTTGATTGTGAGCAGCCCCTCTTCTTCTTTAGCTATTCCAATTCCTGCTAGATAAATAGGCAGACTGTGTGGGACCAATATGAGGCTGGACACAGAGGAGGAACTCCAGAAGGGAAGAGAGGAGCAAGAGCCTGGCTGAAGAGGAGGGAAGAGGGCCGGCCACTTGAAGCTCTTGTTCAAGCCGTGGCATGCCTGTGGGGCGAAGGGCCTCTTGCCCCCATCTTAACAACTGCAGGAAAAAAACATGAATTCAGGAAAGCCATCCTAGGTTACAGAGATGAGGTGGGGTGCGCACGCACATGCCTGCACTTGGGGAGAGCATCCCAAATGGGAGCTTCTTTCCCTCCATGGGGTCAGGCAGGCAGCTGGCTCTTTGACCCAAGATGCCTCGTCTCAGCTGGGCTGTCTGGCATCGGCCCTCTCCACCCTGCAGCTGTCCAGGCAGGGAAAGCTTTTCTAGCCTGTTCCTTCCGGGAAGGCTACAAGAAGTGTCCTCTGGGGGTGGGGGTGTCCTAGACCCCAAAGCCAGGCGTTGGCAAGACGTGATGCTCCGGATGTTGCTGGGCCGCAGTCAATGGAAAAGAATGTGAATCTGACTCTCCTGGTCCTGGAGCATATTCCGTATGATATGCCAGGGCAGTCGTCCACTAACTCCCACTCTAACCAGGTAAAGCCTGACTATGTAAACGAGAGAAGAGTATTGCTCTTAACTGCCAAGAAGTTCTGCCTAACGCTTAGGTGAAATCTCCTTTCTTCTAACTTGAATTCGTTGCGTCTACGAATTTGTTGCTCCGACCCTTCGGAGACGCAGAAAGCCCCTTTGCTCCAGGCGTGACCATTGTTCAGATGCTGGGGAAGGCCTCTTGCATCTCCTCTCCGTTTGCCCTTTTTCAGCCAGACAAACCTGGCTCTCTCAGCTGTGCCTAAGAAGGTGGCTTCCCAGACCTTTTATCCTCCAGGTCACCCTCCTCTTGATGTGTTCCAGGTTCTCGATGCCTCCTTCAAACGGAGGTGGCCAGAAGGGAATGCAGGACTCAGGGTGAGGTCTCTCCAAAGCTGAGCAAGGTGGAACCATGGCTTCCCTTGATCTGATCTGGGCATTGGGCTTCTTCTGAGGCAAGCAGGCCTTGCTTATGCCTCCCCCCCCCTCCAATGTTCAATTTTTTCCTTCTTTTTCTTTCCTTTTTTGCTGCTGCTGCTCATTTGCTTTGTTGACTCATGTTTAGCTTGTGTTCTACTAGGACTCTTACGTTCTTCCCACGTGTACGTGGCTGCCAAGCCAGCTGTCACCCACCCTGTGTTTGCGCCTCTGAGTCTTCTGTACTAAATGTTGAGCTTCGTATTCCTTCCTGTTCAAATAAAATTTTTTTTTTGGTTCAGTGCAGTTCTCTAACCTGTTCAGTTCATCTCGAGTCCCGTCCCCATCTTCTGGAGCATTAGCCACCCCTTCCCAGTTGGGTGGCACCCACACGTTTCAAGAATATCTCTGCTACTCTTTCATTTAAGCCATTTATAGAGATTTGCAACCTTGATAAAGGTGTGGAACAAGATGAGGCCAGGAGAGATGCAGTGGCTTCTCCCGCTTGCTGCTTCTCTGCAGTATGATGAGGAAGCACAGGTGAACGCTCTCCAGGTAGGACCCATCCACCAGCTGGAAATCCACCCAACCACAGTCGCGATCTAGCCTGCTTTTTACCTGCTCAGCTGGAGTAATACTGCAAGAGACCATATCTGCATAGAATGGGGCTTCACATGGGCAAAGTGTTGGCCATACAGCAACTCCATGGGATGGTGGCCCCACCTTCAGCCGGGTAGCTCACAAAATGAGGAAGGGATGTGAGCAAGCCCCCACCTGCCACCAAGCTTGAGCTGCCGCCCTGGCACTTTCCAAGGGCAGGTTTCAGGGTGGAGGGGAGGCCCTTGCCAACTGTCCTGCTGAGGTGGAGCCCAGCCAGCTTGTCTAAAGAGCAGCGCCAGTGGCTCTCTTGCCCTGAAGGATGGTAGAGGCCCCTGCCAAGGTCTGTTGGAGGAAGGCCAGGCACCCTTGAGGTCAGGCAACAAAGGTGTTTATGGGTCCAGCCGAATCAGACTGGAAAGAGGCCCCCTGTCCACCTTCTAACCCCTCCCCCCCCAGGATCCTGGAGAGCCTAGAGGGCGAGTTGTGTGCTCAGTGATTGGTGTGGCCGGTGAGAATCAGGAATTCCCCGAGTTGAACCCATGCCCAGCCATGGAGTCAGAGGGTCTGTATCTTTCCACCAGGCCTCTCTTGTAGGGTGGTTGGTGAAGGGAGTGGGAGGAAGAAGAGCTGGATTTAGACGCCCTTCGCCAGTGAGCACATCTCCCGAGGCCTCTTTCTTGGGTCATTCGCAGATTAGGTGTTTTGCAAAGAATTCTGACCTCCAGGCTTCTCCGCATTCTAGAGATAAAAGCCCTCCTGTTGTTTATGTGGCCACCCAGGCGCTTGCTTGCTTGTTTGCTCCCTCCCTCCCTCCCTCGGAGATGAGGAAAGAGCTGGAAGCACCACTCCCTGGTTCTGCCGGGGCTCCCCTGCCGCTCTGCTTGCCTCGGCTTGGGCCAAAGCTCTGGACGGGGTCAGGGAATCTGAAGGTTGGGGGCTGCTTCCCTTAACCCCTTTGGCAGACCTTCCCAGAGAGTGGGAGAAAGAAATGCAGCAAGTCAGGGAGAAGAGAAGGGAGGCAGGCAGGCAGGNCCCCCCCCCCCCGAATACAAACTTTAGAACTGCCGGGAGGGGCTGGTGATGGATGGATGGTGCTATATATACACACAAGCTCCCTGTCCCTTTGGGTCCCGCTTCTGCCTTGATTTGTGCCCCCGCAGTGG